CCTGCTGCTCCACCAGCACTGCCTTTCTCGAGCGCACATTAAACCGCAGGCACAGTCCTGTGTTCTCCCCACGTAAGAGCTGCATTTAAGCCCTGGCTGGTTTGGCTCAGCGGTTAGAGCGTCAGCCTGCGGTCCAGAGAGACCTGGGTTCAGTTCCCGCTAAGGGCACGTACCTCGGTTGCAGTTTGTCCCCGGCCCTGGCTGGGTCGTGTGGTTGGCAGCCACTCGATGTGTCCCTTTCACATCGCTGTTTCTCGCTCTCTCTCTTCCTCTCTCTCCCTCCCGCTCTATCTGAACAAAATATGAGAAAATGACCTCGAGTGAAGATAAAAAAAAAAGAGTTGCATTCAAGCAACTTCTTAGGTAGGTACTCCTAAAATCCACAGGTTTAGGGTTCTGCCCACACCGCAGAGAGGAGGTGGAGGCAGGAGTTTTGAAACCTGGCACAGCACAAGCTCAGAACCAGGAGTGATGGTAAAGAGAGGGGACATTCTTCATAGGGCCCCACACTCAGGCCATAAAATAGAATTATTAGTTAGGTTTTTTAAATTATCTACTTACTAAATGCCTGGATACTTCACTAGACCACGAATTCCCTAAGCCTAGCCCTTGTGTTTATCTTTTTAAAACAGAAATCTACCACAGAGTATCATATATTAAAGTAAGCAACATAAATTATAATCCCAATACTTAAGCTTTAGAGACACTTGATACAGCAAAGAGAAGATTTCATCACCTCACTTTTTCCCTCGCAATAATTGCAATGGAATTCATGAATGAATAAATAATCCAAACCATTGCAGTACTTAAACGTTTTCCAGTTAAAAAAACAAACAAAAATCTATCGTAGATTTGGGACAAAATGGAGTCTCAAATATTCTTAAAAGAATAAGAAGCGGTCATTCCCAAGTGTATGGCTAATTATATTAATAAATACTTCAGCCCTGGCCGGTTTGGCTCAGCGGTTAGAGCGTCGGCCTGTGGTCCTGAGAGACCCGGGTTCGGTTCCCACTAAGGGCGCGTACCTCGGTTGCAGTTTGTCCCCGGGCCTGGTCGGTTGTGCGGGTGGCAGCCACTCGATGTGTTCCTTTCACATCGATGTTCCTCTCTCTCTCTCCCTCCCACTCTACCTGAACAAAAAATGGAAAAATGTCCTCGGGTGAGGATAAAAATAAATAAATAAATACTTCAAATCTGTATTACACCATGACAACTACATTAACAACGAATTCAACTGATCTGTTTAGACACAGTGAATGAAATAAGAGCATCTAAGATGTTGGAAGCAGCCTGAGATCTTTCCGTATGTGTATTCACCATTCGTCTTTTTTCCTGTGAATTTTCATAGACGTCGGGCACTTTTATCTTTTTATTGTTTTATAGAAATTAAATATGTGTGTGTGTGTGTATATATACACACACACATATATATACATACATACATATATTCATTTATATTATATAAATAATCTGAAAAAACAAAATGTTGGAAACAACCATTTAAAAAATAAAAAGAGCCAGGCCGGTGTAGCTCAGTGGCTGAGGGTAGACCCACGCACCAAGACGTCGCCTGTCCAATTTCCGGTCAGGGTATGTGCCCGAGTTTCAGGTTCAATCTCCAGTGGGGGGCATGCAGGAGGCAGCTAATTGATATCTCTCTCTCTCACACACATCAATGTTTCTATCTCTCGCTCTCTTCCCCTCTCTAAAAAAGTCAATAAAAACATACTTTAAAAAACCAAACCAAAAAAAAGCCTATTGAGAAGCTATGTTTTAAAAAAATGCTACTAAAGGACTTTTTTTCCCCATTGATTTATAGATAGAGTGGAAGGGAGGGAGGAGGAGGAAGAGAGAGAGAGAGAGAAACATCTATGTGAGAGAGACGTCGATTGGTTGCCTCCTTCATGACCTTGACCATGACCAGGGATCAACCCTGCAACCCAGGTAGCTGCCCTTTACCTGGAATCAAACCCGGACCCTTCGGTCCATAGGCTGATGCTCTAACCGCGGAGCCAAACCAGCCAGGGCTAAAGGACATTTGAGGGACCCATGGCAAAGGACTCGAGATTGGATTAATCGTAGTGCCTCGGTGTAAATTTCCTGACTTGGCTCACTGTACCGCGTTATGTAACTGTCCTCTTAGGAATTAAATGCTGAAGTGTTTAGAAACAGAAAGGAATGAGCACACACACTTCTCTAAGGGCTTAGCCAGAGAGCGGCAGAAGCTGAGGTGGTAAGACGTGAACAGCTGAGGAACCCGGATGACAGGCTTGGTGAGGGTTCTCTGCAGGAGACTTGCAACTTCTTTGTTAGTTAGAAATAATTAACAAAACAAAAAAATTTTTTTTGTTAAATTATCGTACTTAGTATAAGTACTGTCTCATTAGCCCGGAAATGACGCAGAGTGTGGGTAGATGGTCTATCATCTAGTGGTCGAGCACGTGATACTCTGGTTTCTAAACATTTCCAAACTGCAAAGACAGTGTTGAAAAGTTCATCTTAAGATGTCATGTGGTCAAACAAAGAAAACAGCCCTGCACGGACATACACGTCCATAGTCCTTTCATTTCGCTCTTGAACCTAACTCAATAAAGTTCTTGGTGAAATGCCTCACTCAAGAAAATATTACTAAGTAATTAAATAATAAGGTAAGGTCAAAAAAGGGGTTCTTTCTCTTCCTCTCTCTGAAATCTTCCAGCGGGGGCTGCTCTCTCCAGCCCTTCCCCCCAGAGTGTATCAAATCACCGCGCTCACCCCATCACCTTTCAAGCTAGTTCCCCGGCTTGGAGAGTGAACGGCAGGCTGGGGCCCGGGTGAATATTCAGCCCGCGCCCTGCTGGCCCCCACTGTCCAATTGGCATGACAATGGGAACCACGGGCCACAAAGGGAGACCAACAAAGGCAGACAAGTTTTTACTGCTGGAGCCATCTGCCAGTTCTTAGGACCTTTTCAGGGCCGGAGCGGAGTTCAAGCCGCAGCTGGGGGGGGGGGGGGGTCTGCAGGGGAGGGAGCAAGAATCATTCCCGGGAAAAGCAACTGCAATATGAAAAGAACCAAAGAGGGGCAGGCGCCTGGACGGATGAATGGAGGCGGCCCAAGGCCCCTCCTTGGTGAGCTCTAAACGGACCCACCGGCCCTCTCTGAGGGGGCTTTTGTCGGTTGCCAAGCATCTTAGATGTTATAGTCGGAATATGTTATCCAGGGAGGATTTAATATACACGAACCACAAAACAAGTGCCTTCCGGAAGGGTCTTCTGATTACCCAGTGGAAAGCCCAAGCCACCTGCCTTTGCAGAGAGTATACTGGGTTTTCATTCTTTAGTCCGCAGAATGTCCTAAATAAAGTGGTTTAGCGATCACACATTTATTTCTATGCCGCCTCTAACGTCCTCCTCCTCCCAGAGACTTGCAAACTTTTCAGACCACCAACCACGAAAATCTATTCAACGCACCGAAATAAAAACACGTCCATGCCCTCAAGGGATTCTGTCAAAATTTCAATGTGGGGGAGGGGGTGGGCAAAAGCTATTCCTCTGATATTTTTCCCAAAAGGAACATTCTACTCAAAGCCCTGAAACCAGGGATGCAGCCTCTTCAGAAGACGAAAGCACCAAGCCAAAGCCAGGCGTACCTGGCTGGGACGAGCGCGCTCCGGTTCCTGCCGGCCAGAAAGGGCTTCCTGTTTAAGTTTTATTTTTAATCCTCACCCGAGGACGTTTTTTTCTATTTATCTTCAGATGGGGAGAGGGGGGACATGGACATAAGAGAGTCGTATCGACTGGTCGCCTCCCGCACGACCCTGACCAGGGCCCCAGGGCTGGGGACGAACCACAACCAAGGTAGATGCCCTTGGCCACAATCAAACCGGTGACTGGTCTGAGGGCCAGTGCTCTAACCACTGAGCAACCTGCCGGGGCCAAACAGGGCTCTCACCCCCTGGGCCGCTCCTTGAACATATTAGTCCCTGACTGGGATCAGTAATCTTAGGGAACTCTCTCCTTTCTGAATTCAACCTGGCAGGAAATCTATGGAGAACTGTTTTGTGGGTTTTAAAGTCCACCATCTAACACGCATGTGTCTTGCAAGGGGCTCAATGACTAAAGACTCTCTGGTCCCTTCTCCCTGGGTCAGACTCCAGGCCCTCCACTCCTCAGTCCTGAGGAGTCGGGAGATGCCGGCATCGACATCTTCACAGATGCAGCAGTTATGTAACTCTGGGGCCTTTTAAAGAAGAATGTTGCTGACCTTGTATGTCCACGATAATTCAATTAAAAAGTATATAAATAGCCCTGACCGGTTTGGATCAGCAGTTAGAGTGTCAGCAGGAGGACCAGGTCTTGGGTTCGATTCCTGGTCAAGGGCAAGTACCTGGGTTGCAGGTTCAATCCCCGGCCCCAGACAGGGTCCTTCAGGAGGCAACAGATCGATGTGTCTCTCTCTCTCATCAATGCCTCTCTTTCTCTCGCTCTCTCTCCTCCTCCCTCCCTTCCACTCTAGCTAAAAATAATAATAATAATGAGAAAATATCATCAAGTGAGGATTAACCAAAAAAAAAAGTATGTAAACTAATAAATAGAAACGAATGTTGCAAAGTTGTAACATAAGTTTTGTAATGTTGAAAGAGTATCTTTTAAAGCCCTGCTCCCAGCTCCCAGCTCCCTCCCAGGGGGGCGGAGTGCACTCCTGCCCTGCACAGCCAGACCCTAGAAGGGTGAGAAACTGCAGCAGAAGCTATCAGATGCACAGAATCCAATTCCAGATTGATGAGGCGAAGGTCAGCCGCAGGACCGTCTCTGAGAGCACCTGGCAAGCTGGGGATGCAGCCGGCATCTCCCCAAGCCCCGGGGAAGATGGTGGCCTCCCCGGTTCCCGCCACGCGGCGCCCACACCCCCGCCAGCCCCAGGCCTTGAGCTCTGCCCCTGTGAGTGACCTGTGATGGAGCTGCAACCCTGCAGCTCCCGGGAGGAGGAGGTAGCCCCAGTGGAGCCCCGGGCTGACCTCTCACTGTGAGCCGGCTGTAGACCTGGGAGTTGACTTCCTTGTCCCGCAGGTAGCATCGGATCTCCTCCACCGCCTCCCGGATGATGGTGACGGCCAGCACGAAGCCCTGCGGAGAGAGGAGACGGGGTGAGCCCTGCTGGGGTGGGGACAGAAAAGGGCAGCAGGGCAGGACCTGCTACTGATCCCAAATGCACATGCCCCAGCAAGCCCACTTCTCCAAATGTCCCCTACACACACACGCTAGAGGAACCCTCACCGACACACATGGACAAGGACACCACTGTTCACCACCTCCGCAGAGTCTGAGCGTGAAAAAAAAGCTGTCCTCCCACAGACGATGGCTCCTCAGACGGTGATCACGAACATTTGTGTCTCATGCGCCTTAGAAATTCATCGGCACCCTTCACCCTCACAACGGCCCCACGAGAGGCACCCCACGAGGTTACTGTGCCTGAGACTACGTGGTACAGATGGGGAAACCGAGGCACAGAGGGGCTGTGCAGAGAAGCTCCCAGGTGGAAAGCAGGAATTCTGAACACAGGGTCTCTGGCTCCAGGGCCCTTGCTTTTAGCAGCCGCACTGCTCTGCATCTAGAGAGACCCGGGTAGGCGGAGCCAGGGCGAGGGACCCCCAGCAGGCAGCCAGAGAGAACGAGGTGCATGCTCTGCATGGACAGGGCTGAGGTCAGCGCATACAGTGTAGCCCCATCCACAGAGATGACAAGGATGCCATCCACTTCAAACACCTTCCGACCTCCTTAACTACCGGTTAGGTTCCTCTGCCAGGAAGGGACAAGATGGGGAGGCAGGGACCGAAAGAGACTTCAGTATGGGTAATGAGGTAATTTTTTTTTTTTAATATTTTTTCTTTATTGATTTTAGAGAGAGAGGAAAGAGGAGGGAGAGAGAAACATATTTTTTGTTTGTTTGTTTGTTTTTATCCTCACCCGAGGACATTTTTCGATATTTTGTTCAGATAGAGTGGGAGGGAGGGAGGGAGGGGGAGAGAGAGAGAGAGAGATAGAGAGAGAGAGAAACATCGATGTGAAAGGGACACATCGAGTGGTCGCCACCCACACGACCCAACCAGGGCCGGGGACAACCTGCAACCGAGGTACGTGCCCTTAGCGGGAACCGAACCCGGGTCTCTCCAGACCGCAGGCCAACGCTCTAACCACTGAGCCAAACCGGCCCGGGCAAGAAACATTGTTGAGAGAACATCGACTGGCGGCCTCCTGTGTGCCCCTCCCTGGGGATCGGGCCCACAACCTGGTCATGTGCCCTGACCAGGAATTGAACCAGCAATCTCCTGATGTATGGGACACACCGGCCGGGCATGACCTAAATTTTTATAAAGAAAACATTATCAAGTGTTCACTGTGTGAGTGCCACGTAATAAAAAGAAAATTTAAAACTGCCTGATCTTTCCGAGAGAGGTTCCCCAACTCGTAAATTCTGGTGGGAGGTGCCCACAGCAAGAACCTGATTTCCTCTAGATTTTTCCTCTTGTATCCATAAAGGCAAGAACATTCACTCATTTTTTTAAACATATATATATTTTTTTAATTTACTGATATTGAGAGAGAGAGACATTGATTTGTTGTTCCACTCATTTACACATTTATCGGTTGATACTTGCGTGTTCCCTGCCCACGACCCTGGCGTATCAGGACAACGCTCTAACCAACTGAGCTACCAGCCCAGAGCCTCATTCATTCTTCTTACAAAATGTCTTTGTCATCCCTCCTTTCAAAGTTATTTTTTTTACAAATACAGAGCCCTGGCCGGTGTGGCTCAGTTGGTCAAAAAGCTGCCAGTTCGATTCCTGGTCAGGGCACATGCCTGACTGCAGGCTCAATCCCGGGTAGGGGGCGTGCAGGAGGCAGCCGATGGGTGTTTCTCTCGTGGCTCTCACATCCATGTTTCTCTCTCTCTCCCTCTCCCTTCCTCTCTCTCTAAAAGTCAATGAAAATTTAAGGAAAAAAAAAAAAAAACATTTGAAAATAGAGAGAGCACCATCCCTTGAAGGTTAGCAGTAGGGATTCTTTGCTGAGTCTCTTTTCCTACCGTTGACCCCGTGAAATACATTAGTTTTGATTCAAAGTACTTGAAGTCTCTCGTGTAAATCTAGCCAGAGGGGTGCTGTTTGGTGAGCCTCTTCCAAAACCCAACACCTTTACACCCAAAGGAACCCCCCCGCACCCGGGCCGGCAATGAGACGCAAAGGACGTTCCTGCAGCCGAAGCAGAACGGCCCGTTGCAGACCAGAGTATATCAGACGAGGCCCGGAGGAGAGGACCTGCTCCGGCCGGGCACAGGAGGGCACAGGAGGCACAGGCCGGTCCGCGGCACCCACCCCTCCTCCAGGCCGCTGCTTTGTTGTTCTGGGCCAGGCCCAGGTTTCCCTTGTTTGGTTGTTTTTTCAAATGTTCTGGTTTCTCTTTCTGTCTGCGTGGGCCTGGCTGAGTTCCACGGAAGTCAGTGGAAGGTGTGTGCTCCCACGAAGACAGAGGCCCCAACCTCTGTGCTGCCAATGATTTCGGCCTCCCCAGCTTATCCTACCCACCCTGCCCCCACCCCAAGGCACACAGCTCTCTAGAGGACACGCTGTGCCCTGGGCTAGCAACTGCTCTGAAGAGAGATGCAAATGGAACCCAGAAATAAGCCCCGAGAGTCCAACGTGGGGGTCCTTAGCATCCACAGACATTTAGAAAGAGGCTTTCAGAGTGGGGGTCTGCGGCTGGGAGCCCCAGCTGGGCTTGGAAAGGACCCAGGGGTGACGGTGCACAGACCAGCATGTACGAAGGTGCTGCAGGCTTCTCTGGAAATGCTGTACATAAAAAATACATTTACGGAAACCAAAACTATCTAGAAGAGAGAGGAATCAAAACAGCAGTTGTGGCCCTGATCGGTTTGGCTCAGCGGTTAGAGCGTCGGCCTGCGGTCCGGAGAGACCCGGGTTCGGTTCCCGCTAAGGGCACGTACCTCAGTTGCAGTTTGTCCCCGGCCCTGGTTGGGTCGTGCGGGTGGCAGCCACTCGATGTGTCCCTTTCACGTCAATGTTTCCCTCTCTCTCTCTCTCCCCCCCTCCCTCTCTATCTGAACAAAAAATGGAAAAATGTCCTCGAGTGAGGATTTAAAAAATAAATAAATAATAAAATAAAAAACGAGACTATTTTCTGAGAATTTTCTATATGCCGGGAGCGATCGGAAGCATTTCACAGGCTTTATTTCATTTAATCCTCCCAACGAGCCAAGGAAATAGACGTGATCACCCGTTTTACAGGTGTGGAAACCAGGGCTCAGAAAAGTTTGTTCCAATTACACCACTTCTCATCCAAGCCCAGCCCAGCCCGGCACCTCAACCGCTCGGCTCCTCCCCTTGAGCCACGCGCTGAGCTGGGCTGGAAACCGGAGGACTTCCGGGTGCTCACAGGCATTTCAGAGAGGCTGGCCGAGAACTAGACGCCGGTCCCCTGCATCAAAATCTAGGGCACTGAGGGCAAGCCAGCTGGTCGCCTAGAAAGAGGTGGGGTCTCATTCATCTTTGACCCCAAACCCCCTTCCTTGTCGTCCCTGGAAAGAGAGCCAGAACTACTACAACACAAACATCCCCCCCAGGTCCTGCACCGTCCCAGGGGGGGCAGAGCTGACTATAAAAGCGGCCAGGATGCAGTCAGTTCGAAACCTCAGGGTGGCCCGAAGGCCTGCCCGGCTTCTCTCCGTGGCCACGGCCCCAGGAAAACCAGGTGAGTCGGCGGTGTACACTGCATGCAAGTCGGGCTTCGGCTGCTCCTGGAAAATCCGAGCAAAGTCTCAGCGAGGAGACGGGGCTGGCACAGGGGGGGTGGGGCCTCCGGGTCACCCAGACCCACCACTGCTCCAGCTCCTTGCCCCGTCCCACTGTGTCTGTCCCGAGAGGCTTCCGCAGACCCTGGAGTTTGCCGTCACAGGTGCGGATGCGGAAAATACTCGTATCAGATAAGGGAACGGGCCCGGCTGTTCAATTCCCAGTCAGGGGTGTGCAGCAGCAGCCGGTTAATGTCCCCCCCCCCTCTAAAAATCTATAAAAACATATTTAAAAAATTTTTTTTCCTTTATTGATTTAGAGAGAGAGGAAGTGAGAGGGAGAGAGAGAAAGAATCATCCATGAGAGAGAACATCGACTGGCCGCCTCCTGCATGCCCCCCACTGGGGATCGGGCCCAGAACCGGGGCATGTGCCCTGACCGGGAATCGAACTCCCAGCATAACTCGCCCATAGACAACTCAGGCCAGACAGAACGGCTCTCACCTTCCAAATGCACCGTCATGGCTCGTGTGGAAGAAATGAAACCCCCAGCTCTCCTCAGGGCTGGTGCTGCTGCCCTGACCGGTTTGATAACATGGCCCTCACGGCGTGTAGACCCCACTCACGTCCCGTAGCAACTGGCTCCCTCCACCCCATAAATGCCCGGCCACCAAATCCTTATCGGCTCCCACACGCCACCAATAAAAACGTTTGTTTTTGTTTCTTTAAAGGTGACTTAAGTCTCTTCTACTTTAACAATCTTTTTCCGCCCTGGCTGGGAAGCTCAGTCGGTCAGAGTGTCACCCCAATACGCCAAGGTTGTGGATTCGATCCCTAGTCTGGGCATATACAAAAAGGAACCAATGAATGCATAAATTAGTGGAACAACAAATCAAAGTTTCTCTCTCTCCCCCTTCCTCTCTCTAAAATCAATTTTTTTAATCTTCCAATTAAAAATGTAACCATATGTGTGAAAAGATAATTTAAAAGATAAGTGTTCCCCCTGAGTTCAGCTTAGAAAGTAGAAAGCAGCAGTTAAAAAGTTCGTGTCTCGGGCCCTGGCCAGTTTGGCTCAGCGGTTAGAGCGTCAGCCTGCGGTCCGGAGAGACCCGGGTTCGGTTCCCGCTAAGGGCATGTACTTCGGTTGCAGTTTGTCCCCGGCCCTGGTTGGTCGTGCGGGTGGCAGCCACTCGATGTGTCCCTTTCACATCGATGTTTCTCTGTCTCTCTCTCTTCCTCTCTCTCCCTCCCACTCTATCTGTACAAAAAAATGGAAAAATATCCTCGGGTGAGGATTAAAAAAAAAAAAAAGTTCGTGTCTCGGGGAAAAAGAGACATCGGATCTGCCCGCTCCACCTCTCAATCATGCTGAGCTTCCTTCTGGTCTCCAAATGCTCTGAGCTCATGTCCACCACAGGCCCTTTGCACGGCTGCTCCCTGTGTCCAGAACACTCCCCCCTCTGCTCTACTCTCCTTCTCATCACCTCCTCAAGAGGTCTCTCACGGCCACCTTGACTAGGCTGCCCTCCACGCCTCCCACGCCCACCTTCATCCATTCCACACACACTCGCTGTGCCTGGGTGCCCGTCTGTCCAATAACCTTATTCTGTCACCTTCACAGCATCTTCCACAATTAACAACAATTTTATCAACCTGCTTATTGTCTCTCCTCTCTGAAACTGACTCCAGGAGGGCAGGGATGTGCATGTTCTGTGCACTGCTGCACCCTCGCACCCTGCACAGTACCTGGTACATGGCAGCTGCTTGATCACCATGTACGGGAGGGGAGGGGAGGGGAGGGGAGGGGAGGGGAGGGGAGGGGAGGGGAGGAGAGGGGAGGGGAGGGAGGACATTCTGGCCAGTTCCATCACACCTCATACCCACGAAAGCACAGAATCTGTTATTTTTTAAAACCCTCACACGAAATACTCTATACAGCAGAGTAAACAGGAAATGGGATCTCAGGAAACCGTGCAAACAGCACAGTCCAGGAAGACGGAGGCTGTGTCCTCTCTTCGCTGAGACAACGAATGACTGAGAGGCCGGGGAGTGAACGGCACAGGCCTCGCTATGGTTCGACTCTGCCGGTGGAGGGAACGGAGCTTCGACCTTACAATCTTGGGGACGCCCGACGTGTTGGCTTGAGGGCGTCCACACCTCGGGCCAGAGCGACAAAGAGCTCTCTGTCCCCAGGCCTCCGCAGTCCCCGAGCAGGCGAGGCCATTACTCACCAGGGGAACCCAGTAGGTGTACAGGGCACCCAGTCTCATCTCAGGAACAAACTGGGAGCAGGCGAGAAGTAAGAAGTAGAGGTTGAAGAAGTACTTGAACTGGTTAAACAGCACCTGGAGCGGAGAGGGAGAGAAGGGGACACTCAAGGCTTGTCTGGTGAGGGGGCAGGTGTAGTGGGAGGGGCGTGATGCTTAAAACTTTCCCACAGGAGAACGCCACGGACGTGATACTTCGCATGAAATTTCAACACTTCTGCACGTAAGAACAAGACAACCCTAGAAGTAAAAATGTAAATAATGACACTCGTGGGAATTGAAACACCAAATTCAAGACCGTGGTTACCCCGGGGTAGGCTGGGTCTTCAACTGTATCTGCTCTGTTTCGCTTCTTAAACCCTCTATTTTGTAAGCATGTGTGAGTACAGGTAAGACACTCAAAATGGGTTTTAAGAATATGTGTTAGGCCCTGGCCGGTTTGGCTCAGCAGTTAAGAGCGTCAGCCCGCAGACCAGAGAGTCCCAGGTTCGGTTCCTGCTAAGGGCACGTACCTCAGTTGCAGTTTGTCCCCGGCCCCGGTTGGGGTCGTGTGGGTGGCAGCCACACAATGTGCCTCTCTCACATCAATGTTTCTCCCTCTCTCTTCCTCCTTCTCTCCCTCCGGCTCTATCTGAACATAAATGCAAAAATGTCCTCGGGTGAGGATAAATAAATAGGTGTTAGTGGGAAATGCTCATGCTGTAAAATGACCCGAAAAGCAGGATATTAAAAAAGATTTTTAAGAAAATTGAAAGTGAGATAAATGCCCTGTCTGCAATGTGATGGCAATGCCATTAAATGCGTACAGAAGAATCCCAGCTGGAGGCGGGCGGGCTCCGGCACTTGACTGCTCCCATGTGCCCTGGCAGGGAGGCCCACACACGACTCGGCCACCGGGCAACGAGTGAAAACGACGTGTTTCTCCGAGGCAGAGGCTGTTAAGAGACACTGTTCAACGCCCTGCTCTTCCTGGTCCCGGGGACGTTGGTGGCCGTGTATTCCAGAAGGCGCAGCTACCCGATGGGAGAGAGTGGCCAAGTCCACATCAGGATTTCCAGGAATGAGAAATAAACTTTTTCTTGACTTAAGATACTGAGCCCAGCCAGTATGGCTCAGTGGATTGAGCCTTGTCCCGTGGACTGAGAGGTCCAGGTTCGATTCCCGGTCCGGGCACATGCCCGGGCTGCAGGCTCGATCCCCAATGAGGGGCATGCAGGAGGCAGCCAATGGATGACCTCTCTCATCAATGTTTCTTTTTGTTTTAAATCCTCACCTGAGGATATTTTTCTATTTATCTTCAGACAGAGTGGAAGGGAGAGAGAGAGAAACATCGATGAGAGAGAGACCAGGGCCGGGGACGAACCACAACCGAGGTATGTACCCTTGGCCAGAATCAAACCCACAACTCATTGGTCCTCGAACCCACGCTCTACCACTGATGCAAACTGTCCAGCATTCACATCAATGTTTCTCTCTCTCCCTAAAAATATCAATGAAAACATATTTCTAAAAAAGATACTGAGATTTGGGAGGAGGAGTGGGGAGGGCTAAGATAGCTAGCAATGCATGTAGTCAAAATCATCCTTTAAAAAAACTCAAATTGACTTTAAGCTACAGCATGATGTATCCGTGTTTTGTATTATCTTGCAATACATCGAACATTGTAACTTTGTTTTCCTTTCCAGCAGTCGGACTGGCTGCTGCTGCTTCTCAGCCCATCAGCGTGTGGAGGCCTCGCAGGATGAAAGCAGGTGTTTCACGTGGGTGTGCTGGGGAAGGCTGGTGTCCGTGGATTTGTATAAGCAAAATGGAAACAATCATTTAGAGCAGAATGTTTACAGAAATTCTTTCTCTGGAGGGTAGGATTAAAAGGATCTTCTTCTTTCTTTTTCTTTTTTTTTTTTTAATTTCTCTATACTCTTATTCCCCCAACTTTCCTACAGCTAAATACATGTTTTTTGTTTTGTTTTTTTATCCTCACCCGAGGACATTTTTCCATATTTTATTCAGATAGAGCGGGAGGGAGGGAGAGAGAGAAAGAAACATTGACGTGAAAGGGACATTATCAAGTGGCTGCCACCCGCACAACCCAACCAGGGCCGGGGACAAACTGCAACCGAGGCACATGCCCTTAGCGGGAACCGAACCCGGGTTTCTCTGTACCGCAGGCCGACGCTCTAACTGCTGAGTCACACCGGCCAGGGCTAAATATGTGTTTTGTAATGATTGGGGAGAAATGTAAGCGCTGCTGGGTTTTTGGTGTTTTGGTTATAATGCGAAGTTCCCGTATCTTTTGTCTTACGCACAGCACACTAAATAAAGGTGAAGGTATTCCAACTCATCAGGTCGCTAGTAGTTAAGGTGGCGTGGCAAAGACACGGTGTGTTCACAAAATCTGCCAGGGGACCTTCGTCTTCTGAGACTGGCACCGTTGTGTATATTTAGTGTGTGAAGAAAAAACAGATGCGGTCCCTGCCCATACATACCCCAGGAAGAAAGGTAAAGAAGTTGTACTTCTGATTGTTGATGACATTTCGAGGGTACCTCTGGTCCCTCTTCTCGGGATGCCCCAACCAGACCGTGCGGGGCCTGGGCTCTCCTCCACCGCAGCATCTCAGCCACTCACAGCACCTGTGGGAAAGACATGCCCACCGCATCAAGGCCACGCCCACCGCATCAGGCCACGCCCACACCTGCCCACCCTTCTCAGCATTTTTCTCTCCACAACAGCTCTCAACCTGTGGGGGTCGAACAACCCTTTCACAGGGGTCACCTAAGACCACCGGATTTCCGATGGCCTTAGGAACTGAGACACTGCTCCTGTGTCCTTCTCCAGGCGGGTCCGCCCACATGCAGATAGTCCCACATACAGATACGCCCACATACAAGTACCCAGCGTGATGACATCATTGCGCCAACCCCATCACATACACCCCGTACAAATACAGGTGTATGTGACGGGTTGGCACCATCATGTACTTATGCGGACCAGTCACACATGTGTAAAGAGCAGCTACTGTGTAGAAAGAAGCTACTCTGTTAAAAGCAGCTACTATGTTGAAAGCAGCAGTATTGGAGATAAAATGACACTTCATGAATTATAATTACTGGGTAAATGTAAAATCATGTACTGTAAAATCATCAACTACTGCAAAAAAATATCTGTACCATGGGAATTTAATCTGGATGCTTATCAGTCTTTTTATATTCAGCTGTGGTTGATGTGAATACTGCCCCCTTGTAATAGTAACAGGTAAGTAAAAAAAACAAACAATACAGAGAATGGTAAATCATAGGAAACTTCAATGAACTGTATTGACTAAACTATGCCATGTATCATCTTTTGTATTATTAAAGCTATTGTTAGATACTATTTTCATTAGCAAACCATCCCATGACAATGGATTGTGTAGAGAAGAAGGTTAAGAAAATAAAATATAGTGAGGATTTTTTACAGTATGGTTTTACCTCAATAATTACAGCAGGAATTGAGAAACCACATGTGTTATTTGTTGTGAAGTTCTATCAGCCAAATCTATGAATCCGAACAAACTAAAACGCCATTTTGATAGCAAGCATCTGAGCTTTGCCAGCAAGGCTACCAACTATTTTAGAAGCAAAGCTGATGGACTCAAGAAAGCCAGACTTGACACTGGTGGCAAATACCACAAACAAAACATAGCAACCGTTGAAGCTTCATATTTGGTGGCACTCAGAATCACCAGAGCTATGAAACCTCACACCATTGCTGAGTATTTACTGTTGCTAGTGGCCAAAGAAATTGTTCAAGTTATGATTGGAGACAAAATTGAGTGCAATTTCCTTTCACACCATTGCTGAGTATTTACTGTTGCTAGTGGCCAAAGAAATTGTTCAAGTTATGATTGGAGACAAAATTGAGTGCAATTTCCTTATCTAACGACACTGTCCACAGAAGAATAGACGACGTGTCTGCTGATATTCTTGATCAGGTAATCCAGGAAATTAAATCTGCTCCACTTCCAATATTTAGCATCCAGCTTGATGAATCTACAGTCGTTGCAAACTGTCCACAGTTACTGGTTTGCGTGAGGCATATTAATGATGGCGACTTTAAAGATGAGTTTCTTTTTTGTAAACCTCCTGAAACGACAATTACTGCACGTGATGTATTTGACACAGTTGGCTCATTTCTGAAAGAGCATAAGATCTCTTGGGAAAAGGTTTGTGGTGTTTGCACAGATGGTGCTCCAGCTATGCTAGGATGTCGATCTGGATTTCAACGTTTGGTACTGAATGAGTCACTGAAAGTCGTCGGAACTCACTGTATGAGTCATTGGCAAATATTAGCAACGAAGACGCTGCCACAAGAGTTACAAGAAGTAATGAAAAGCGTCATAAGTTCTGTAGATTTTGTAAAGGTGAGCACTTTAAACAGTCGACTGTTTTCGCAACTGTGCAACGACTTGGATGCGCCAAACAATGCTCTGCTATTTCATGCTGAAGTGAGATGGTTGTCGACAGGAAAAGTTCTAAGATGTGTTTTTGAGCTTCATGATGAACTCAAAACATTTTTTAATCAGAAAGCAAGACCACAGTTTGAAACTTCAGTGATAAAAGTGAACCACAGAAAATAGCTTACTTGGTTGACATCTTTGTCATCTTGAATGAGTTAAATTTATCACTGCAAGGACCAAATGCAACATGCCTCGATTTGTCTGAAAAGATCCGATCATTCCAAATGAAACTTCAGCTTTGGCAAAAAAAAATTGGATGAAAATAAAATTTACATGTTGTCTACCTTATCTGCTTTCTTTGAGGAACATGACATTGAACCAGGCAAAAAGATTACGATAATTTCTGTGAAAGCACACTTGCACATGCTTGCAGACGAAATTTCATCTTACTTTCCAAATCTACCTGACACCCCATTTGCACTTGCCAGAAGCCCATTCACAGTCCAAGTTGAAGATGTTCCTGAGACAGCACAAGAGGAGTTCATTGAACTTATTAACAGCGATGCAGCAAGAACTGATTTCTCTACAATGCCAATTACAGAATTCTGGATCAAGTGTTTGCAGTCATGTCCTGTTCTGTCTGAGACTGTGTTGCGCCTTCTTCTTCCATTTCCAACAACATATCTTTGTGAAACAGTGTTTTCCAGTTTGTTGGTTATCAAGTCTAAATACACTTGTTGTGGAAGATGATGTTCGTTGTGCTCTTGCAAAGACTGCCCCGAGAATTTCTGATCTGGTGAGAAAGAACCTATGTCAACCTTCACACTTTTTACGCATACTGTCGCAAAATGTAACAATGTAGTTTACTGTCGTTATAGTAAGACTGTTACCCATTGCTACACCATGCTTCAAGACAAAATTTCATTTATTTGTAATAAGAAATAAATATTTCACAATATATAATTACATATTGTTTTGCGATTAATCACTATGCTTTATTTTTTTTTAATTTTTTATTAATTTGTTTTTGTTACAGATGTTTCTCATTTACCCCATTGACACTCCCCCCCCCCCGTCCCATCCCCTTTTGTTGTCTATGTTCATTGGTCATGCACACATGCATGTAAGTTCTGTGGTTTATCTCTTTCCCCTACCAACGCCCCTCCTTTGAGGCTTGTCAGTCTGTACCCCATCTCTATGTCTCTGGATTAATTTTGTTCAGCATTTGGTTTAGTTTATTATATTCCACAAATAAGTGAGATTATGTGATATTTGTCTTTCTCTGCTTGGTTTGTTCTGCTTAGCATAATACTCTCCAGGTTCTTCCATGCCATCTCAAAGAATAAGAGATCTTTCTTTCTTACAGCTGCATAGTACTCCATTGTGTACATGTACCACAGCTTTTTAACCCACTCATCTACTGATGGACACTTGGGTTGTTTCCAGATCTTAGCTATTGTAAATAGTGCTGCTATGAACATAGGGATACATATATTCTTTCTGATTGGTGTTTCAGGTTTCTTAGGGTATATTCCTAGAAGTGGAATCACTGGGTCAAATGGCAGTTCAATTTTTAACTTTTTGAGGTAACACCACAGTGTTTTCCACAGTGGCTGCACAGTCTGCATTCCCACCAGCAGTGTACTAGAGTCCCCTTTTCTCCACACCCTCGCCAGCACTTGTTTGATGATTTGTTGATGGCGGCCATTCCGACAGGTGTGAGGTGATACCTCATTGTTGTTTTAATTTGCATCTCTCTGATGATTAGTGATGTTGAGCATTTCTTCATATGTCTCTTGGCCATTTGTATGTCCTTTTTGGAGAGGTGTCTATTTAGGTCCTCACTATGCTTTAATTTTGTTCAATTTGTAACAATGAAAATACATCCTGCATATCAGATATTTACATTATGATTCATAACAGTAGCAAAATTAAGGTTATAAAGTAGCAACAAAAATAATTTTCTGGTTGGGGGGTCACTACCACATGAGGAACTGTACTAAAGGGTCGTGGCATCAGGAAGGTTGAGAACCACTGCTCCACAACATCTTCAGCGGGTCCGGACCAGAGCCATTCTGAGGCTTCATCCTTCGGGGAGATGGGAAACAAAACTGAGGCTCCTAAGAAGCTAGGGTCACAATCAAAGATGCTTTGTCCCCAAGCCCAAATTTTTTTTTTTTTTGGTATGTGCCCCTAACGGGAACCGAACCCAGGGCTCTCTGGTCCACACCAAACTGGCCAGGGCCCAAGCCCAATTTACTTTATTTCATAAACTAGAATTCATTTCTAAACTGGTAAGACTATTACTTTTACATGCTACAAACGAGAGAAGGCAGCTCAGGACAGTGGAATAAAGCACCCAGTTTGCTGAGATGTGAGAGACAGCTCGGTCTTACTCAAACCCTCGATTCTTCCCATCAGCCCTGCCGTGAAGTTGCTGGTCACACCAAGGCCACTGGGTCAAGCAGAAGGGGAGGAGTCTCCTTTCCGCCCCAGCTCGTCTTTTCAGCTACAGAGAGAGATGGTGACTCAGAACCCAGTGTCACCTAGAGACGGGCCAGCGTGCAAGGTGGAGGCAGACTGGCCCTGACTGCCACCCTGACCTGGCTGTCCAGGTCACCAACTTACAAGGCAAGGGAACACCTGGGAACATGGCCAGCGCTGGCCAAACAAAGCTACTCTGAGAACCACCCCACCCCCAACACCAAAAGGCAGCTGGTCCTCCAGGGGAGCCCATAATCACGGCAGCTGGGGAGCTGCAAGCCCTCGTGGGTACTGCAACAGAAGCACCCCACGCTCCTCTCGCTGCCTTGCACGGTTGTGGGAGGAACCGAGCCCGGCCGGCCGAAGTGAAACCAACCAGACAGGACTCACATAATTACTTGTCTGCCGGGACCTCCCTTCTCCACTGGTCCAACAGGCCAGGCCGGCCCTGGTGGGGTACTGGGCCCAGGGCTGAGCAGTCCCTGGGCATCGACTCACAGAGCAGCCAGCCAGCGAGCTGCCTGCCCAGACGCTCAAAATTTCCATGCTGCAACATGATGCTGCTTCTTAAAATAGCATCCTCTTCCAGGAAATGGGTGCTCGGGGACGGTGGCTCTGATAAGGACAGGTTTCACTTCTAGTAACTCGTTTGTGTTGGCACCTAAGTTGCCCAAACGCCAGACACACACAGATGCCTCAGAAGTCCAACCC